CTTCGACTAGCGCCTCCAGCCGCGGCAGCGCATCTGCGAGCGGCATCCGCTTCTTCTTCCGCTCGTACGCCAGCCCGACCACGAGCCGTGTCAGCTCCTCGGCCTGCGCCGCCGACCAGCCCGCGTCGGCCGCCGCGATGCTCTCCGCCGTGTCGGGCTCCTCCAGCGCATCGTCGCACGCGTTGAGCAAGCCAAGAGCGCCGCGGCCGGTCAGGGCGACGAGCAGCGTGATGCCGAGCGCAAAACCGTCAGTCAACTGAGAAGCCTGGCCATCCAGCGAGATGATCGGGTCCATGTAGCCTGGCTTACCAAAGATACGCTGCGTCGACAGGTGCGACACCTGCTGGCTGCTGCCGGCCGTCGCCTCTGCCGCGCGCGCGAGGCCCACGTCGGCGAGGTAGCCGTTGCCGCGCTCGTCGAGCAGGATGTTGCCCGCGGAGACGTCGCGGTGCAGGATCATCGGAGAGAGCGTGTGCAGGTAGTGCAACGCGCTCGCGGCGTCGCGCAGCACGCGGAGCCGTGCGGCAGAAGAGAGCGGCGGAGGCGGCGTCTCGAAGCCGAGCATGCGGAGCCGCTGCAGCGCGGCTGGAGCGCGGTAGAGGCGGTCCTCGAGGCTGCCGCCGCGGCAGAGGGGGTAGACGAGGCACGCGCTCGCTCTCGCCGGAGCCAAGCAGACGCCGAGCAGAGGGAGGAGGGACCGGTGACACGCCGCGCTGAGCGTGCGCACCTCGCTCTGCAGCTCGGCGAGGCCTTGGGCGCCGACACCGACCAGCGCCGTCTTGACGGCGAACCCGCAAGCGACGTGCGGAAGCGACGGCAGCGCGTCGCAGCGGTAGACGCGCCCGAATCCTCCCTCGCCCACCTTGCGCGCCTCGGCAAAGCCGTCGGTCGCCGCGATGAGCTCGTCGAGAGGGACGGCGGTGGGCGGCGCGGCGGCGGCGGCGAGGGCGGCGACACTCGCCGCCGCCGCCGCTGCCGCCGCTGCCGCCGCCGCCGCCTGGCGCCCTGCTGTCACTCAGCGTCTTGCTGATGCTGGACATTTGCTGAGAGATTTGCTCGCGCTCGCCACCCTCGGCGCGTGCGCGGCGGCGAGACCCGGCGGCGAGCTCGCTGTCAGCCTGCTCCCGGACAACGTAGACGGCGACGGCCTGTGGATCGTCGGCACCGCGTGGCTGATCGCGGCCCAGACGCCCGCAGAGGCTTTCCAGCTTCCCACGGGGATCCACAAGTGGCAGGCAAAGAGCGGCTGCGTTTTCGACCCTCTCCCAAGGTGAACAAGAACAGGCTGAAGCAGGCTGTGATGCAATACGGCTATGACGACGAGCTCTTCCAGGATTGGAGGGACGGCAAGATAGGCGAAGGACTTGCCGGAAGGAGGGGAGGCTATGATCCGGCTCGCTGGGTGCGCTTCTCAGCTCCCCGGCCCTGGATGTGAGGTTAATGACTGCACTCCAAGTGCTCCAAGTGACTTTGGACCTTTGCGAGAGGTGGCGAGCGGAGCAAGAGCGGTGTAGGCGCGTCCACGCCTCGCGGCGCAGCAGCTCTCCCGCGACCCCGGCCCCTCTCGTAGCCGCAGCCGTAGCCGCAGCCCCAACTCTTGCCGCTCTTCCGTGTCGGGTTGTGACGAGGGGTGAGGGGACACGGATTGAAGATCCCTCACACCAAGATCGTGCAGGGCGGGGACACATGTCCCTAAATCCCATCTCGTCTCAGAGTTTGACCGTTTTATTTATCTATTTATTTGCCTGAGAACGCGAGTTCGAAATCGTAGGAGGCACCTAGGGGACGAGGACGGCGAGCAGAGAGGAGAACAGACGGCGAGCGGCGCACGCGAGGGCGACCACGCAGGAGAAAACAGACGGGACGAGGGGAAGGAAACGCGGCCCGCCAGGAAGCGAAGGCAGACGGCAAGATACGTCGCCGGACCAGCGACAGGAAGCGCAGGAAAACAAAAAGAACAAGACCAGGAGCATGGAGACGAGGGAAGGCGCGAGGCGCTCCGCCGACAAGCAGCAGAGGCGGCGGCGAAAGTAACGACGGCCATGCTAACGACGGGCGGCACGGTGGAAGGGGCGAAGGTAGGCCCCTCTAGCATAGCGGAAGGGGAACTCGGCCTACTGGCGACGAGGAGGCTAGAGAAATTTGAGGTGTGTAGCATCTACACTGGGGAGATCTTCCGGACAGGAACGGCGCAGCCACCAGAGACAGTACCAGACGAACTATCACGACACACGGCAGCAGGGGGGACGCAGCTGGATGGAAGTGACGACGAGAGCGGGGACGACTTTGACAGCGTCGCGGCGCGCTGTAACTTCGATTGGCCTGCAGCATCGAATGAGCCGAAACGAGGCACGAGGGCGACGCACTTCGTACGCTACGAGGAGATACAATTAGGCAAGGCAGCAGCGCAGGTGATGGTCCTGTTTGCAGAGAGGGGAGTCAAGGAAGGCCAAGAAATCACATGGTCATATGGGGACTCATACAGGAGCCACCGCAAGAAGATGGGATACAGGGCGGGGACCAGGGCGGATCCGAACGCAATAACACCCCAGCAAGCGCGGACGGCATTCGCGAGATACTGCAAAAAGATAGACGTGACGAAGGAGGAGCTAGCGTGGAACTTTGGATGCATATCGGCAAGCCAAAATAACGAGCAGGAGGCTGTCCTGGTGCGTGAGCTAATCCTGAGCAACAATAAGCGACTGTACCACGGAGCACAGAGCGCAGCAGACAGGACGGCGGCGACGGCGGACATGGCAGAGACGAGTGTGAAACAAAGGGCGGCGGGCATGGAGGGCGGTAGCGACGGGGATGGAGACGGTGACGGTGGCGAGGGAGAGGAAGGGGGTCCATTAACACCAGACAGCGAGAGGGGCAGGGAGGAAAGGGGGAGAGAGGAAGCCAACGCGACGTGCGCAGAGGATGAGGATATAAACTGGGACGACGCAGCGGAGGGGATAGGCGAGGGAATCGAGGGACCGGAGGGCTTTCGCGACAGCGACGATGACGACGAAGAAAGGGGAGGGGACGGAGGGGCGACACGCAGGAGGAGCAAAATCGCTAACGGCCCGAGCAGAGAGGGCGACGGCGGGGCACGAGGGAACAACGAAGACGCTACCGATGACGCGAACCGAGGCACGGACGCCGGCGGGGACGGGGAGGGCGACAGCGACGTCGAGGTTGACGCAACCGTATCGAGAGCGCCACCCAAAAAGGGGCGGACAGCCATGGAGGTCACCGAATGGAGGGCGAACGGCACGATGCGAAAAGGCAGGGCGAGGCGGATGGAGAAAGAAGTGCCGAGAAGGCCATGGTGGAGGGGAGGGACGGGAGGACGAAAGAAGGGCGAGGAGGACGAGCGGCCCGCACAGACCGCGAGCAGACAGCGCCTGCTGGCCATTTCGAGACATTCGCCAAGAACGCTAGCTACATGGGAGGGCTTCGTGAAGGATGGATTGAAAAACATTCGAACAAAGAAGAGGCGACGGGAGGAACCGGCGGAGGATGCAGTGACGTGACACACACACACACACACACACACACACACACACACACACACGCGCAGATCGCTGCCATGATCGTGGTTGGACTTGTGTGACTTCCTCTCCGCCTTTGCCTCTGCCCTTGCCGTTGCCTCGGCAGCTGCCGCACGCTGGACGGTGACACGTGCATCCGCACACGCGGTAGTCATGCATTTCGGCAGCGTGGATGCGCCACACAGCTCCCTGCGGCGGGCCGTGACCTGCTGCATTTTGGCGAACTTCTGTTGCAGAGTGCGAACAAAGTTCAGATGATACACGAGCACTTCGCTGCACACCGCGTTCGAATCCAGCCCTCGTTGGCCGTGTCGGAAGCGGGCCGACGAGAAGAGTGAGACAGAGATGGGACCGGATGGGCGCAAGAAATTCCAGAATACCGTCTGGTCGTCCAGCTTTGCGTCGTCCGCTCTCTCCCAGTCCCGCCAGACCGCGCGCGCGATGGCCGTGTTGCGAACGACGTAGAAGCCAGTGTTTCCTTCGTAATGTGTACCTCTTAGCTCTGTGGCCCTTCTCACGCCGGTCCACTCGGCCCCGTTGGCCATGAAGGTAGCGTCTGCAGAAGCGTTTGTCAGATGCACCTTCATAACTTCATACGGATCATGAAAGAAGAGAATGTCGGGGTCACAAAGCCAGATGCGCTCCAGCTCCTGCATGCGGGCCATCAGGTTGTAGATGATGCGAATCTTGTTCTTGCTCACCGAGTTGAAGGATGGCGATCTGAATTTGTTGCTCTCTGCACTCACGTTTGTGGCGAATGTGATCTGGAGCTCGTCACCTATAGTGTGCAACTCCGGCGCCTGCACGACCACGAGATGCTTAAGCCCAAGCGCCTTCAGCCGCGCCGACCAGAGCGTGTACATCGCCGTGAACCCCGCGTTTATGGAAGTGACCAGCAGGCACGGCTGCTGGTTGGCAGCATCGCGGTACACCCCGTAGGCTTCCGTCACTGTTGTTCGCCAGCGTAAGTGCGGCAGGAACGAGCCATCCACGAGCGTCGACGGCGGCAGTGCACATGCGAGCTGGAGCAGAGCGACGAGCATGGTGCACATGTACAGTATGCGAGCTGGACGACGAGCCTGACGGCGTGCGAAAGCGAAAGTCGGCGCTGAACGTAAAAATGTTTGATTTTACACTTTCAGCTACACTTCGAAACAAGCGAAGGTACACACAACATGACGCCAACCACACGATTGCACGCACCGCACCGCACCCCGCACCCCGCGCCCGCCGCCCCCCCACCGCCCCGCCTAGGTGGGAAGGATATGAGGAGATGGGACAGCGAAGGTGGAAGGGGGTGGTAGCCGCCCCTGCCACCCTCGGCGTGTGCCTCGGCCGCCCCTGACAGTGTGCCCGTGGTAGCGAGCGACTGCCAGTGAGAAGCCGGAGGTGGGAGGAAGGTCGCTAGTCGAGAGAGATCGCCAGTGGAATAGGGAGTCCGCCGTGCTGCGAACCTGGTCGCTGTCCCTTTTGTCAGGAGCAGGAGAACTAGGAGAGCGCAACCAGTAGGAGGCCCGCGCCTGCCGCCGTGCTGCCGGGTGCAACCCGTCCTATACGAGAGGGGAATCCCTGGGACCCTGTCGTAACTGAGGCGTGGCCAGCAGCGGAGAAGAAAGATGGCACAGGAGAGCTGGCCACCGCGTCCAAGCTCCGCCTCACAAACGACCACGACTGGTGGCGCAAGGCACCGCGCTCAAAGAACGTGACCTTCCCTCCCGGCTGCCCTGCCCTCAGCAACTACAGCATGAGCTCCATGCACACTTTTTACCAGGCTGGGAACAAACATTCTCGGCTTCCTTCGTTGCACCATTCAAGGTTGCACCAT